AGTGAGACTCTGTCTCAAAATTTGAGAGTGACTGTTAAAAATATAAATGGCTATAACAAGAGCCCAGAATCATCACAGTGCTTTAGTGACAGTGGAATACTAAAGATAGCAGTCATACTCTAAAAGGTTAAAAACTCACAAAGAAGATACCCATATAGGGAAAAGGATGAAATTACCCAAGACACAGATTTCAAAAATTACCTCAAAGAGCAGAGCCTGGGCTTTCTGTTCTGGCAGCAAGCGCAGTCCCGCTGTTGCCTTCAGCACCACTGGGGTCCTTTTCCAGTGACTTCGGGGGATTGAGTCTTTGGCCACCTCTAAGAGTTCTTGAACAGTCTCAGCACCCTTCAAAAGAGATGGTCTATTTATCCAGTGAACATCCTATTTAGTGGCACCAGTCTATTCCCTCAGTACGCTTTGGGGGAGCAACAAGAGTAAGTGGCAGAAAGCTCCATGCCCTCTCTGTGCTGTAGGAGCAGAAACCTAGAGAAGCAGGCCACACTGAAGAAGAGAATCCATTTCATTTTGATAGTTATAATAAATATCATTCTTTTCTTTCCTTTTTTTTCCTCTAAAAATCATTCTTTTCTAGAGGTCACTTAAGTTTACTATTATTTTATATCTCATATAAATTAGCTTTAGGCCACAGAGTCAGGTATAGTGAAGGAACACAGGAGGTACAGACAGAAGATCTGCTTGCTAACCCCGAAGCTTAATACAGTAATAGGGGCTGCTACTTTCGTCATGTGTGAGATGAAAGATATGCCTTATAACACCATTAAACTATTGTGCACACGAGGCAGAGTTGTGTGGCACCCACACAATGCTAGCTATAGCTATCTTCATCTTATACTTTTTTTCTTCCCAGAGACAGGGTCTTGCTCTATCCCCCAAGCTAGACTGCAGTAGTCTGATCACTGCTTATTGCAAACTCAAACTCCTGGGCTCAAGCAACTCTCCTGCCTCAGCCTCCTGGGTAGCTGGAACCATACCCGTGCACCATCACACTTGGTTAATTTTTTTCTATTTTTTATAGAGACAGAGTCTCATTCTTGCTCAGGTTTGATGTTAAAGACTCTTTTTGTTGTTGTTGTTTGTTTTTTAATAGACTCTGTCTCACTTTATCACCCTCTGTAAAGTGCCGTGGCATCACATAGCTCACAGCAACCTTCACCTCCTGGGCTTAGGCTATTCTCTTGCCTCAGCCTCCCAAGTAGCTGGGACTACAGGTATCTGCCACAATGCCCAGCTATATTTTTGTTGTTACAATTTGGCCGGGACTGGGTTTGAACCCGCCACACTTGGTACATGGGACCGGTACCCTACCCACTGAGCTACAAGCACCACCCTAGATGTTAAACTCTTAAAGATCTCCCTAAGGACAGAACAAATTTGTCTCATTTTGCATTTCATCACTTACATGTGTGCCACACACCAGATGCTCAAATGAAACCGTTACATTAAATCTACTATTTCCCTGAGAGAACATTTATTCCGACAATGCACTGCCCCATAATCATTATTATCAGCAACTACAATACAATCATCTTTTCTAAATGTCAAATCACTGTCTGATAATGTAGTTGCTTTCAATAGCTACTAATTTTCTAGAACGTTTGCCATTTGTGTGCTACAAAATTGAGATATATTTTCTCAGTTCCCCAAACTTAAACCATTTTTAACATCAGGTTTTCCCTTGGGTAATGATCATTCAAATAGATACTGAATAATAAATACTTTTATATCTGCTCCCAAAGTTTAACATTCTACTTTATTCTATTTCATTTCAATATAGCCTCAAACACACTGGAGGATATAAGATATTATGGGTACTCAAATGTAAAATATAGTCACTGCAAACTTTCCATTCATCCCTACTACCAAAGAGTTTTGTCATCATGGGCTATTGCCTAATTTCTTGAGTAGAACCATACTGCTCTCCTGCATCAGGGCACTCTAAAATTCACTGGTCTCCAGCCCCTCAGCTGCCATGTTTATACATTGTAGCCTATAAAACCTCATGACTATCTCCCTCATTTACACAAACCCATGCAGTTGATTGCTTCAACTCAAAACCTTAAACAAGAAATATACAAGGAACTATCTCCTAAAAGCTACTGTCATCCCTGCGTGGCCACAATCTATTTTCCAGCCTCCTTCCACCCAGCCCTCATGAGTTATCCCTGAGGTTAGTAGAGGAGAGAAAACTGACCTCCACACATGACTTCAATCTCATTAGTGATTAGTATGAGATATTTAACGACAGAGGCACTGTCAAATTATCAAGGTACTGCAAATCTAAACCCCAAAGCGTAAGAAACTCACCGGCTAGGGCACTGGCCACATACACCAGAGCTGGCAGGTTCAAACCCGACCAGGGCCTGCCAAAACAAACAATGACAACTACAACAAAAAAATAGCCAGGCGTTGTGGCGGGCACCTATAGTCCCAGTTACTTGGGCTGCTAAGGCAAGAGAATCACTTAAGCCCACGAGTTTGAGGTTGCTGTGAGCTGTGATATCATAAGACTCTACTGAGGGTGACAAAGTGAGACTTTGTCTCAAAATAAAAAAAAAAAAAAACAGAAAAGAAAAAAAAGAAACTCACCTGCTTAGGTTGATCTACGAAAGCAGAAAGTCCTGGCTTCACAGAATCAAAAATTTCCCCTTCTAGAATTGGAAGCTGTCCTAGTTTGTCCATGGAACAAAACAGAGAAGACAGCAAGCTGATTACCAAAAGTTAGGCTGCTTCTGACACTGGCTCTGTAAACATTCCTATTACGTACTAGATTTATCTGCCCTCCCCCTAAGCTATTCCCAAAATCCAATTTATGCAGAATACCTAGCAGGAGTACTGGAGAGGGGAACTAGAGAAAACCCTGAGGGTCCGCTGCCATTTCTCTGGTGGACATCTAGCTCCTACTTCTTTCCCCAGGCTCTCTAGGCAACCTGAGAAAAGAACACTGACAACTCAAAAATAATATTCAGGGCTCGGTGCTTGTGGCTCAAGTGGCTAAGGCACCAGCCACATACACCTAAGGTGGAGGGTTCGAATCCAGCTTGGCCTGCCAAACAATGATGGCTGCAACCAAAAAAAAAAAAAAAATAGCTGGGCGTTGTGGCAGGCACCTGTGGTCCAGCTACTTGGGAGCCTGAGGCAGGAGACTTGCTTGAGCCCAGGAGTTGGAGGTTGCTGTGAGCTGTGATGCTATGGCACTCTAACCCAGGGGACAGCTTGAGGCTCTATCTCAAAAAACAAAACAATCTTCAGAATCCTTTCAGCCCCTGTCCAAGGATGTCAGTGAAACTCGCATTTGATTCTTCTCCTAGGACCATCCCCAATATTCTGGAGCCCTGGAGTATTAACCACTTTTAGAGAAGAAGAAAAACAAATTACAGCCATTCTTGGACATACGAGTTTCAGAATACATGCAGCCCAAATATCTCATAATTTCAAAATGAATTAAACCACATGTTCAGTTATAGTCCACAGTGTTCTCTGAAGGACATTCACTATCTCTCCAATTCTGTAATTTACATCATGAACTCTCAGCAGGAGATACTAAATTGTGAATTACCAGACTCTGGTAAGGGTCCCGTTTGCATTTACCTGGTGTTTTCTGTACAAAGGTATAAACATGAATTCTAGTTCCAGTGCTCCCTGCGTCAAACATAATTCCATACAAGATGCTGGCACTGACATTGATGGGGCACATGGAAGACAGGAAGACACCCTCAAACCAAGTCTGTTGGTCCCTGTGGAAGACAGTGCTGCAAACACAGGATACCACCAGCATGAAAAAGACTGCACCCTGGGAAGTGGCCATTCTTTTCTCACGGTGTGGTTGGGTCTAGGGTTTTGTTGAAGCAGCAGTCTTGTTCACACACCTGCAGTGGCTTACAGGATAAAAACATACAAGATTAGACCAACTGGTTTTTTTGGCTACACCTTTAAAAGAATAAACACGTTGTGCCCAAGGGGTTCCTTTTTTATTTCTAATAGCAAGTACAATGAGCTAACCTAGGATAATGTGGGCTCTTAGCACCTTTTCTGAAGGATATCTGGTTCCATAAGGAAACTTGAGATTTAAAATATATTTTCTGGCTGGGAGCAGTGTTTCATGCCTAAAAATCCCAGTACTCTGGGAAGCTGAAGAAAGAGGAGTGACTGAGGCCAGGATTTCAAGAACAGCCTGGGCAACAGAGCAAGACCATGTCTCCACACACACACAAAAAAATTAATAATAAGGAAAAATAGAGGTGGCGCCTGTGGCTCAGTAAGTAGGGCGCTGGCCCCATATACTGAGAGTGGCAGGTTCAAACCCGGCCCCAGCCAAACTGCAACAGAAAAATAGCTGGGCGTTGTGGCAGGCGCCTGTAGTCCCAGCTACTCAGGAGGCTGAGGCAAGAGAATCGCCTAAGCCCAAAAGTTGGAGGTTGTTATGAGCTGGTTGCCATGGCACTCTACTGAGGGCAATAAAGAGAGACTGTCTCTAAAAAGAAAAAAGAAAAAAGAAAAAGAAAAATTAGGCTGGGTACGGTAGCTTACACCTGTATTCCTGGCCCTCTGGGAGCCTGAGGTGGGTGGATTACCTGAGTTCAAGAGTTCAAGACCAACCTGAAAAAGAGCAAGACCTGTCTCTACTAAAAGTAGAAAAACTAGCTGGAAAAGAAAAAAGAAGAAAAACAAACAAACAAAAAATGGGCACCCGTAGCTCAGTCATTAGGGTGCCAGCCAACATGTACCGGGGCTTGCTAAACAAACAAATAAAAATAGCCAGGTATCATGGCAAGCCACAGCACTCTACAGAGGGTGACAAAGTGAGACTGTCTCAATAAGAACAAAAACAAAGGGTGGTGCCTGTGGCTCAAGGAGTATGGCGCCGGCCCCATATGCAGGAGGTTGTGGGTTCAAACCCGGCCCCAGCACCCCCCCCAAAAAAGAACAAAAAAGCAAACAAAAAAAAACCTAGCTGGGTGTAGTGGCAGGTGCCAATAATCCCAGCTACTTAGGAGGATGAGGCAAGAGGATCACCTGAGCCCAGCGTTTGAGGTTACTATGAGCTATGATGCCACAGCACTCTACCCTGGGTGACAGAGTGAGATTTTGTCTCAAAAAAGAAAAATTAGCTGACCATGGTTGTATACACCTATAAGTCCCAGCTACTTGGGAGGTAAACCAGGAAGATCATTTGAACCTAGAAGTTCAAGGCTGCAGTGGCCTGTGATCCTGCCACTTTACTCCAGCCTGGGCAACAGAGCAAGACCTTGTCTCTCTTAAAAAATATGTATGTATGTATACATATATATTTCCTTATGTTTTGCTATTTAATTTTATTATTATTCTTTGATACACTGTCTCATTCTGTGCCCTGGCTGGAATGCCATGGCATCATAGATCACAGTAACCTCAAACTCTTGGGCTCAAGTGATACCTCAGCCTCTCAAAAAGCTGGGACTACAGGCACCTGCCACAATGCCTGGCTAGTTTTTCTATTTTTAATAGAGACAGGGTCTTACTCTTTTGCTTAGGCTGGTCTTGAACCCCTGAGCTCAGGCAATCCACCCATCTTGACCTCCCAGGGTATTAGGACTATAGGCGTGAGCCACTACACTTGGCTTGCTTTTTTACTGATACATAAAAGTTATACATATTTATAGAGTATATGTGATATTTTGATAAATGTAATCAATGTGTAATAGCAAATTAGGTTATTTAAGATATCTATCACCTCTGTGTGGGTCACATTTCATATCTTTTCATCCAGCTATTTGTAAATATATAATAAATTATTATTAATTTACTCATAAGTAATAATTGCTTATTAAATAAATAACTTATACACTAGAACTTATTCCTTCTAACTGTGTATTAGAAGGAATTATATTTGAACCCATTAACCAATCTCTCTTCATCTCTATCCCTTACCCTTCCCAGCTTCTATTCCCATGAAATCAACCTTTTTAGCTCTCTCGTTCTCATATATGAATGAGAACATATGGTATTTGTCCTTCTGTACCTGGCTAATTTCATTGAACATAATGACCCATGCTTTGGTTTTAAATGGAAGGTGATTCTCACATATTCTCTGCTCCTGCTTCTACTGTTGAGTTTAATTTTCTTCTTTCCATTTTGATGATTTTGCCTTGAGATCATTAAACTAGCACCCCTCCCTCCCTTTCTTCTTTGTGATGAATAGATAAGAAACTTCAACTTCTAAATAAAAGTTATGAAGTTATAAAGTCCCTATTATTGGGTTGTTCACAGACCAAAAATCAGGTCAATGGACTGTCCCTGGTGATCAACAGTACTGCCAGTGGCATGCACATATAACCACATTTTAAGGAAATAAATCAACTTAATTTAGAAAGATTAAATAAACCATTACTGTTTTAAACAAACAGGGTTTTAGGCCATGTTAATCAAGAAGAACTTAGGGCAGATGGGCAAATTAAGACAGAGAGGTCTATGATTTGCTGAAAGTCATGAAGTTAGTGATGAAATCCACATCAGAAATCACTCTTGGCCAAGCATGGAGGCTTATGTCTGTAATCCAAGTACTTTGATCTCAAATTCATAACCTCAAGCATTCCTCCTGCCTTAGCATCCCACAGTGCTAGGATTACAGGTTTTGAGGCACCACACCTGGCCAAGCCTGGTACTTTAGGAAGCTGAGGTGGGAGGACTGCTTGAGACTATGAATTCAAAACCAGTCTGGGTGACATAGCAAGACCCTGTCTCTAAGAGAAAATTAAAAAATAAAATAAATCATCGGCTCGGCGCCTGTGGCTCAAGCGGCTAAGGCGCCAGCCACATACACCTAAGGTGGCAGGTTCGAATCCCCAGCCCGGGACCGCCAAACAACAATGATGGCTGCAACCAAAAAAAAAAAAAATGGCCAGGCGTTGTGGCGGGCGCCTGTAGTCCCAGCTAACTTGGGAGGCTGAGGCAGGAGACTCGCTTGAACCCAGGAGTTGGAGGTTGCTGTGAGCGTGATGCCATGGCACTCTACCCAGGGGGATAGCTTGAGGCTTCATCTCAAAAAAAAAAAAATAAATAAATAAATAAATAAAATAAATCATCCAGGTGTGGTACATGCCTATAGTCTCAGCTACCTAGGAAGCTGAGGTAGAAGGATAGCTTAAGCACAGCAGTGAGCCATAGATGACACCACTGCACTCTAGCTTGGGCAACAGAGTGAGAACCTGTATCAGAAAAAAGAAAATAGTAATAATTTTTTTTTTTTAGAAAAGCAGTATTTTATTAGGATAAGTGTATTTCATAAGTTCAATTTTTTTTTTTTTTGGAGACAGAACCTCAAGCTGTTGTCCTGGGTACAGTACTATGTAGCATCACAGCTCATAGCAACTTCCAACTCCTGGGCTTAAGCAATTCTCTTGCCTCAGCTGCCCAAGTAGCTGGGACTATAGGCACCCACCACAATGCCTGGCTATTTTTTAGTTCTAGTTGTCATTGTTGTTTGGCAGGCCTGGGCTGCCTGGTGTATGTGGCTGGCATCTTAGCGCTTGAGCTACAGGCACCCAGCCAAGTTCAAATTTTTAATATGTATTCACTTAAACATCAGACAATGGAAAGAGTATAAGGGCATTGTGAAGAAGGCAAAAATTTGAAGTCAGGAGATGTTCATGTAGATGCAGTCTCATGGTAGCCTACATGAAGAAGTTACATCTTATCTATTTACCTGGGTGAATTTGGAAAACATCCTCCTAAGTATAAAAAAACACTCTTTTTTTTTAAGAGAAAGAGTCTCACTTTATTGCCCTTGATTGAGTGCCATGTTGTCACAGCTCACAGCAACCTCCAGCTCCTGGGCTTAGGTGATTCTCTTGCCTCAGTCTCCCAAGTAGCTGGGACTACAGGTGCCCACCACAATGCCCGGCTATTTTTTTATTGCAGTTTGGTTGGCTAGGGCCGGGTTCAAACCCGCCACCCTCGGTATATAGGGACAGTGGCCTACCTAAAAAATCACTCTTGTCAACTTTTCCCCTGAATCCAAAATGCCTTCCTAAGCAAGTTAGTGCTCATATTTCTTAATAAGGTCTTAGCAAAGAAAAAAACTCAGTGTGTGCAGTATTATTTTTGTTTTTATATTATGGTAGACTGGATATGAATGCTGCTGAAAACTTAAACATGGAACACAGTGGAGAGAGCACTCAGATCCTGGGTTTCAGTTCCAGAATCTGTACTACAGTATGATGTTGGGCAAGTCATTTAGCCTGAGCCTCCGTTTCCTCATCTGCAAAATGGGAATAACTACACCTGCCCAACTCACCTCCCATAGTTATTAGGAAAATCAAATGATATATCACATACATACAAGTTTGTTTGTTTTTAAGACAGACTCTCACTTTGTTGCCCAGGCCAGAGTGCCATGGCATCAGACTAGCTCACAGTAACCTCAAACTCCCAGGTTCAAGTGATCCTCCTGCCTCAGCCTCTTAAGTAGCTGGGACTACAGATGCCCACCACAATACCCAGATAATTTTTTTCTAATTTTAGTAGAAATGGGGTCTCACTTTTGCTCAGGTTGGTCTCAAACTCCTAAGCTTAAGTAATCTTCCTGTCTTGGCCTCCCAGAGTGCTAGGATTATAGGCATGAGCCACCATGTCTAGCCAAAAGTTTTTTTGTGTGTCTATATTATGATGCTTTGTTGTAATATTATAAAACATCTTTGTGTTTTTCCAGGACTAAATTTTAGGAAAATGGAAAGGATGGTGATTTCATTATTATTAGTAGGAAATAGTTTTTAAAATGCATGGAGCTTTTAAAAAAGTTTTGCATTGGGCGGCACCCGTGGCTCAGTGAGTAGGGTGCCGGCTCCATATACCAAGAGTGGCAGGTTCGAACCTAGTGTTGGCCAAACTGCAACAAATAATAGCTGAGTGTTGTGGCAGGTACCTGTAGTCTCAGCTACTCAGGAGGCTGAGGCAAGAGAATTGCCTAAGCCCAAGAGCTGGAGGTTG